ACTCCCCTCAAGGCTTTCAAAGACTCTCTACGTGATGCCACCTTCAGTGAGCATCAGAATGTGCCCCAGTTTCTTCAAAACCTACAACACATTCTAGAAAGAGTCCACAGTTTTGCCCAAGATAATCTATTGAAAGCACAGGAGAGGATGAAGACTCATTACGACCAGACCAGCAAAGTAAGAAAATTTAAGCCGGGAGATTTCGTACTTGCTTACTTTCCTATCCAAGGTTCTCCTTTACAAAACAGGTTTTCAGGACCCTACCGCATCAAGGAGTGCAGAAACAACCATAACTACGTTCTAGAGACTCCAGACAGGCGGCGTAAGACCCAGCTGTGCCACGTCAACCTCCTGAAGCTATATAACGGTACTCCTCCCACTGTCATGCTTAACTACTCTGCTTTTACAGAACCATACATCCACAGTGAGACCTTCCCTGCTTCTACTCCCGAAAGCACTGACAAGGAGTCAGCGCTTTCTAATTCAGAAATCCTTACTGATCTTCCAAACTATTTTCAGGACAATCCTAGTGCACCTCTCGTCAAGATCTTCAGAGAACATCAGGAGTTGTTCCGAGATGACCCCCAAGAGTGTAATGTTACCCAGCACGACATCCAACTGCTCTCCGACACCCGGCCGATTCGTCAACCCTTCTACCGAATCAGCCCTAGCAAGAAGGAAGTCATGCGTGCTGAGGTGCAGTACCTCTTGGATCATGGACTGGCTACACCTTGTGAGTCCCCCTGGGCCTCACCCTGTATCTTGGTGCCAAAACCCCAAGGTAAGGTGAGACTGTGCACTGACTATCGTAAGTTAAATAATGTGACTGTCAAGGATGCATACCCCTTGCCAAGGATAGATGACATTCTTGACGCCATTGGTAATGCCCAGTACTTGTCCCAAGTGGACTTGCTTAAGGGGTATTACCAAGTGTGTTTAACGGAGCGAGCCAAAGAAATATCTGCCTTTATCACTCCTTTTGGACTTTTCAGATATGAACGCCTTCCTTTCGGACTATGTAATGCCCCGGCCACCTTTCAGAGAGCTGTCAACCGTGTCATCCAGGGCTTGGATAACACGTACGCCTATTTGGATGATATCGTCGTAGTATCCAACACCTGGAGTGAACATCTGCTCCAGCTGCGACGACTGTTCGCCAAGCTCCTGACAGCCGGCCTCACCATCAACCTGGGCAAGTCCACCTTCGCGAAAGGTAAAGTGCGTTATCTGGGTCATGTAATTGGGAGTGGCAGCCTAGCTCCGTTAAACTCACACACTCAAGCCATCCAGCATTATCCACAGCCTACCACCAGGAAGCAGCTCCTGCGCTTCCTTGGTCTTGCCTCCTACTACCGTAGGTTTGTGAGAAATTTCAGTACAGTCGCTACACCTTTAATAATTTTAACCAGTCCCAAGCAACGGTATAAGTGGACCATGCAGCAAATCATTGCTTTCGAACAACTCAAATTCCTCCTCTGTTCTAATCCCATTCTCGCCTCGCCAGATATCACCAAGCCTTTCGTCCTTCATGTCGACGCCTATGGTACCGGCGTTGGTGGTGTCCTGATGCAGAAACGAGGCGAGGAGGTTCTACCTGTCAGCTACAACAGCTACAAATCGAAACCCCACCAGAGGAACTACAGCACTATTGAAAAGAAGCTACTATCCATCGTCCTGAATCTCCAGCACTTTGCTCCATACCTACAAGGTGCCAGGTCTACCACCATCTTCTCAGACCACAACCCTCTCCGCTTCTTACATCAAGCCCAATTCACTAACCAGCGTCTTCTACGATGGGCTTTATATCTACAAGATTTCAACCTGTAGATCTGCTATATCAAGGGTTCTGACAACATCATAGCCGATGCCCTCTCCAGAGTTTATGAAGTAGAAGCAACTCCACCTATTACTCCACCACATGACGACGTACTTCTTCCAGAACCGCAGGCTTCGGGGAAGAGTTGTGACGATAATCTCTTTCAAGAGAGATTGAGCCTACTCTTCCCTTCAAAGTACGTAGAAACAACAGATAATATAGAAGATACGGCCAGCAAGTATCTCCAAAACGTTTTGCCCAGAGAGCAAAACGTATCCAGCACACCGGCACACATGCTCGCCCCGCCACAGTAAACCGGCAAACTGCTTGTCCATCGCCTGCCTGTCGCTGATTGGCTGGTGTCCCGTCGCACCTGCCTTCCACCCTCCGCCACAAGTTGATGTCTGGGCGGCAGTGGCCAAGAGTCGTCAGAATATTCCAGTGCTCCTTGCAGTTGACATCTCTCATTGGTAGACTAAGCCTCGGCTTTCGTGTACTAAGGGAGGTGGCAGCTCGAAGCCAATATTCCGGCATCATTATTATATATTTTGCTATTACTCACTTGTCTTAACGTAACTTTTCATTTGCCAGTGATTATTCTTATTATTTTGTTTGTTGACTTGTCTTGTATATTTTATACTTAATTTTATTCATGTCTTGTTTTTCTAACGTATTAAAATTTCATTGTTAAATTTACTTGTGTTTTGTGTGTCTTCCCATTACCTTACCACAGACGAAAGTTCCAGCTTGTCTTTTTTTTCTTTAATGTGACGAGGCCCTGCCCCTAGCTTTTGAAACAGCCGAACACCAATGCTTTACCGTCACAATGTTGATATATATATATATATATATAATATTACTTATATTTTGTCACACCCCAGAAGTGACTCATACTCGCCAGGAGCAACGCAACTGGTATGTACAGGGACGCCTTAATCCGCTTGACCATCACGACCGGACATAAGGAAGTGATAGCCGAAGCTATTTGAACCAATTCCCCACCGGCACTCGGATGGTAATCTTGGGCATAGCATTTTATCAAATCACCTCATTCTTTGGGGCACACGTGAGGAACACAAATGCAAACAAGATTACCATCCGAGTGCCGGCGGGGAAGTGGTTCAAATAGCTTCAATCATCAGCAAACATGGAGAGGAACGAGTCTATACCCTCTGGAAGATCGTTTACATATATTAGAAACAGGATGGGTCCAAGTATTGCGCCCTGTGGGACTCCGCTAGTGACATCTCGCCACTCTGATATCTTCCCTCCTCACTGTTAATCACTGTTTCCTGTTGCCTAAGTACTTCCTTATCCACTGGAGCACCTTCCCTTCTACTCCTGCCAGTTGCTCAAATTTTTTTAACAGCCTTTTATGGGGTAATGTGTCAAAGCCTTTCTTGGCAGTACAGGAAAATGCAGTCGGCCCACCCTTAATTTTCCTGCCTAATTTTTGTTGCCTGGTCATAGAATTCTATTAAACCTGTGAGGTACGATTTACCATCTCTGAACCAATGTTGGTGGTGTATTACAAAGTTATTTCCCTCCAGATGCTCTATGAGCCTTTTCCTCCCGATCTTCTCCATCACCTTGCATGGTATACAAGTTAAGGAAACTGGCTAGTAGTTCAGTGCCTGTCACCCTTCTTGTATATTGGGACTACGTTAACTGTCTTCCAACTTTCTGGCAGGTCTCCTGTTTCCAATGACCTGTTATACACCATAGGGAGTGGAACACTAAGTGCTTCTGCACCTTCCTTTAGTATCCATGGTGAGTTTCTGTCAGACCCAACAGCCTTTGTCACATCCAGCTCCAGCAGACACCTTTTGACCTCCTCACTGGTGAGGTCAAAAGATCAAGAGGTCAAATTCCTCCAAGGTTGCTTGGTTTGCCTCTTCCTCATTTAGTGCAGGGGGCTTTTCCTTGTTCTATTGTGAACACCTCCTGGAATCTCTTGTTGAGTTCTTCACACACCTCCTTGTCATTCTCTGTGTATCTGCTCTCCCCTTTTTTCAATTTCATCACTTGTTTCTTCACTGCTGTTTTCCTCCTGATGAGGCTGTGGAGCAGCTTTGATTGGGTTTTGGCTTTACTCTCTATGCCACTTTCAAACTGTCTCTCTGCTTCCCTCCTCACTCTGAGGTACTTATTTCTGGCCCTCTGATATCTCTCCCTGCTCTCCGGTGTTCTGTTATTTCTGTAGTTTCTCCATGTTCTTTTACTCAGTTGCTTTGCTACCTTGCATTCCTGGTTGAACCATGGGTTTTTCTGTTGTTTTCGTTTTTCTCCTTTTTGACTGGGATAAACCTGTATGCAGTTTCCTGACACTTCTGTGTGACAAAACCCATCATGTCCTGCACATTCTTGTCTCTAAGTTCTGTTTCCCCATGGTATTCCCTTTAGGAAGTTCCTCATCTTATCATATTTTCCTCGTCGGTAATTTAGTCTTTTCCCCTCCGATCCCATTCCTTGGATAGGTTATCCCTACCTCCACCAAGTACTCAAAAGTCAGTAAACTGTGGTCACTCATTCCTGTGTACTCACCTAGTTGTACTCACCTAGTTGTGTTTGCGGGGGTTGAGCTCTGGCTCTTTGGTCCCGCCTCTCAACCATCAATCAACAGGTGTACAGATTCCAGAGCCTATTGGGCTCTATCATATCTACACTTGTTACTGTGTATGGAGTCAGCCTCCACCACATCACTGCCTAATGCATTCCATTTGTCAACTACTCTGACACTAAAAAAAAAAATTTCTAATATCTCTGTGGCTCATTTGGGCACTCAGTTTCCACCTGTGTCCACTAGTGCGTGAGCCCCTTGTGTTAAATAGCCCGTCTTTATCTACCCTGTCAATTCCTCTGAGAATCTTGTACGTGGTGATCATTCCCCCCCCCCCTAGCTCTTCTGTGTTAGTGTGTGTGTGTGTGTGTAATTACCTAAGTGTAATTACATAATTGTATTTACAGGATGAGAGCTACGCTCGTGGTGTCCCGTCTTCCCAGCACTCTTTGTTATATAACGCTTTGAAACTAATGACGGTCTTGGCCTCCACCACGTGTGTGCGTGTGTGCGTGTGTGTGCGCGTGAGTGCATTTTGTGTGGTATCCGTTTGAATATCTTAGGTTCTAGGAGTTTGTATGTTTATAAACACTCATATAATATACATACAAATGAACTACAAACCTTTCCGTGAAAAATCTTGGGCCATCAAAGCTCTTTCCACAACCTCTTCTGATATAAATAGGTGATGACCATTCCTAACAAGTGTGTTGATACTCCGAACAAACTCTGTAGTCTTGATGAATTTAAGACGATTCTCTTTCTGGAGATCAGCAACATCTCGAAATATTCCAGCCTTTGCAGTCTTTACTTATACAATAGGTATATGATAATAAGGGCTTCAGGAATTAGATGTATTCAACATAAACTTTATTGCTCTATTCATTGTATTTATGATAGTTAAATTACATTCTAAATATTTATAATGGCATTTCGATTGCACAGGAAAATTCAAACATGACTTACAATAATATATTCTGCTTTTACAGCGCCACCCAAAACCAGCAATGCTACAGAGTGATCGTTCACAATTTCCTCGAGGGACTGGATGGGCTGAGGGATGTGTCTGACAGCCAGGAGACCCATGAGGTTGCCGGCGTAGCTCTGCGTCAACACCACCGTCACCAGCCCCCACACCGCCATCACCACCCGCTCCCACCACCAGTTATTCTGAACCATAATGCCTATTAAGAATAATAATAGGGACTCAACCTGATTTGTGTAATGCATTGGTAACACTATAGGTCATTGAGGATATGGCAATTTATACGATTTTATGCTACATTTCACCATACCGTAAGTAACATTATTTATTTCACTTGGAACATATGAAATTATATACAGATCTAGAAAATATCAGACAGAGCTTTTTGCCTATGGATATGATTGCATACTAAGTTTTACTTGTAACATGAATTTAAACGTAAATAACATTGAGTTGAGAAATATTCAAAACTAAATTATATGGAAGATGGCAGTGTGGAAAACACTGATAGCGTCAAAAGTCAATTTTATTATTTTCGCAGGAATAAACCTGTGCGGGCTCTAAGCCTCTGACTGACCCACTAAGCGTTACTTGTTTCTGTTTTACTTAGGTGGAATATATTTATGACTTATATGGTCGCATCAGTAAGACTTTGCTCAATGTGTTTAAAAACATTTTCTGCTTTGTTGAATCTAAGTTGAAATCTTATTTGGTTTGTAACTGTGCACAGTGATAAATAATGTTCCAGTGGTCTGTCGGGCATTTCTCCACAGTGTTGACATTTCCAAAGTCAATCATCGTTCTCTAAATGGAATTACCAAGGATTTTTTCAAATAGTTTCAATGTTAAATGAGACAATGATGTTGACTCCATTCTGCACAATCCACAAAATGCATATTCATTTACCTTCTCTCAAACTCTCTTCCTCAATGACAAACTACTAAACAATTAAAACATTTCTATAATGATTAGTTAATAAAATATGATAGTGAAAAAACATAAAGTTATGTTTACAAATATCTAATGACTAGATATGTGTAACAATAAATCAGGACCAATAAGAAATTTAATACTCTTACTACTAGTAATAATAATAAAACTAATAATATTAAAAGTAATAATGATAATATATAATATATAATATTAATACAAATCATATATATTATTAAGAGCAAACATAACTATTTGTTTTAAATAGTCAGAATTCATCCAGTAGTCAGCATTCAAGGACAAGTAAAGTGTTATAATATTCCAGAATTGTTATCAATATTCTGAAAAATATGTATAATTGGAGATCGAGAAATTTAAATGATTTTCAAACACAATTACGAACGCATTTTTCTTAATTGGAATAAGATATTTAAAATTAATACTGCCTACCTTGATTTGAAATTAATGATACCAAGTTGAATGTGTCGTCCATCCATTCTGCCGGAGTCTTAAGGGAAAAGCATGAGGACATAAGACACATAGCCAGAGGCAGCACCAGCAGCGCCGCAAGGATGGCCGCCCACACCAGCGGCTCCAGAGGAAAGAGGAAGCCCCATGGGTCCACCTCCGGCTGACCTCGACCTCCAAGAAGTCTCCCGTATTCTATTGTTACTGGCCACGTGGCGTCTACGGCTTCATTTAATAAAGTATTGACAGCAAACGGACCAAGACCAATTTCAACCTCCTGCAAAGGAGAGTTTGCATACAGTATCGTAATTCGAACATCTGAGGCAAATTCCAAAGTAAATTCAGTCAACAGCGTTAGAGTGGATGAATAAAGAGTGGATATTATATATATATATATATATATATATATATATATATATAATATATATATATATATATATATATATATATATATGATAATATATATATATATATGATAATATATAATATATATATATTATATATATATATATATATATATATATATATATATATATATATATATATATATATATATATATATATATATATATATATATATATATATGTCGTACCTAGTTGCCAGAATGCACTTCTCAGCCTACTATGCAACTTCTCAGCCTACTATGATGGATGGTTTTCTAGTAAACCATCCATCGCCAGAGAAATCCTAGTAAACAACACAGAAATCATCGATAGATACAGCGATAGCAGGCGGCTTGACGTTTGCGAGGCACTACACATCAAGAAGTCAACACCAGCAATCAACAGCCAATTATTGCACAACTATATTCTACCCACCTCAAGACTCCGCTCCAATATAGAAGCATCAAGAAATATGGACCAATAGGCTTTCTACAAACACTTCTATTCAATACCCATTGTTTCTGTTCTGTCTTGTGTTGATACTTTTAATACCCTATTAATATCCTCTAGTGTTCTGTCTTGTGTTAATGCCACATCATCCTTCCCACCTCACTCAAATGTAATGCCACATCACCCTTCCCACCTCACTCAAATGTAGATATAAAATCAGGGAAACGCAAGTTCTAATCAGTTGTGTATTTGTGAAGTCTTTGAAAATGTAATAAGTTTTACGAAACGCGCCCGTGTCGCGTCAGACTAGAAATAAAAATGAATTTTGGAGAAGTGATTTTTGATTTACCTCCAACAGTGAAGCATAATGTACGAAAGATGAGAAATTCGTGTTAGAATTATTAATCTTACTTTTTCGGTCATATTTAATATAATATATATATATATATATATATATAATATATATATATATATATATATATATATATATATATATATATATATATATATATATATATATATATATATATATATATATATATATATATACACATATATATATATATATATCATTGAATATGACCGCATATTCTGTATTTACTATTTTCCGGTTTAGGGCTTCTATCCCTCTATTTTCTTAGCATCAGGGCTTAGCTGAAATAGGAGTTCTCCAAAACTCCTTTTCGTAATTTTAAGATGTAGAAAGGAAGTGAATAACAATAGAATGTATTACACTTATTTATACAATTTGCACAACGTTTCGAACCTATATGGTTCATTCTCAAGTGAAAAGAAATTTCAGGTTTGGTTGATTTTATACCTGCACTGGGTCAGGTGATAAGACAATAAAGGTGAAAACATGGGCGGATACATAAGAACATAAGAATAGAGGTAACTGCGGAAGGCCTATTGCCCATACGAGGCAGCTGATATCTACATACATAGATTAATCAAGTGCAATTGGCCTGTTATGTTGAACGGTGTCTTCTGTGTTGGCATCGTTATGTTCTGGCCTTGTCCTTACTCTCATGGTGGGTAGAGTAAATTGTTCCGTGATTTGGGTGTTCATGGTAGGTTGTTCTATTCTTATGTGAATTGCTTCGAGAATTTGTAATCTTCTTACCTCTTGGGTTTTGTCTATTATACAGGTAATTTTGTTCAACATTTCTCTTGTTAGGGTGATGTCATGGGCTTGTCTCATGTGATTCCTGGGGACACCGGATTGAAGATGGCATGTCAAACGCCTCGTCAGCTTGGTCGACGTCATACCAATGTACTTAGATTGAAGATTACATCCTTCGTGGGGGCAAATGTACATATATACACCGCTTGACTGCTGTAGAGGGTTCTCCGTCGGCTTCGGGCTGTTTTTGATAAGGAGTTCGGAAGTCTTCTTGGTTTTGTACAATATTATCAGGGTTATGTTTTGGTTTGGAATATGCATAAATACAAATAAATACAGAATATGCGGACATATTCAATGAGACATGTTTGAAAGAAAACCTGCTGCAAGTATACACCAATATATATATATATATATATATATATATATATATATATATATATATATATATATATATATATATATATATATATATATTGGTTCAGAGTTCTGAGGTTGGTAGAATATAGTTGTACATTAATTTGCTGTTGATTGCTGGTGTTGACTTTTTCATGTGTAGTGCCTGAACACAGAATTATGCTCGAATTGCTCCATAAAGGAACATATAATATCCTCTCACAGCCAGACTATCACCACAGAAATCTTAACAAACAACACATAAATCATCGATAGATACAGCGATAGCAGGCGGCTCGACATCTGCGAGGCACTACACATCAAAAAGTCAACACCAGCAATCAACATCCAATTAATAAACAACTATATTCTACCCACTTCAAGACTCTGAACCTATATAGAAGCATCAAGAAGAAGTATTGGCCAATAAGCCCTCTGCAGTTATTTCCATTCTTATACTCTCATATCCATATAATACTCATAGGTTCATGTTCTGTCTTGTGTTTGTCACAAGTTTGATCACCTCATCCAAAACGGTTGCACCATATCACCTCACCCATATGCGAGTATAAGTATGACGAATTAGCATGTTTACATGTTACAGTTGTGTGAGTAGACTAAAGTCTTTGAAAATGTAAGAAGTCACTATGAAACGCGTTCAAGCGTCGCACCAGACTAGAAATAAAATAGAATTTTGGAGAATTAAGTTTTCAACTCTATCGACAGTGAAAAGAAACATAAGAAATATTGAGAAAATTCGTGTCAGAATTATTAATCATAACTTTTCGGTCATATTTAACAATACACACACACACACACACACACACACACACACACACACACACACACACACACACACACCACACACACACACACACACACACACACACACACACACACACACACACACATATATATATATATATATATATATATATATATATATATATATATATTACGCTCGACGTAATATAAGCATTGAGAACACTGGCTTTGTATCTTTGGGGGCACTCACTTCTACCGTTCAGGCATAATCCTATGTTGGTGGGCTTGGTATATACGTTGGTGCTTAAAGAGGTTCCTGTTTTTGTTATTAGTACATCCAAGAATGGCAGACTGTTATTTTCACTATTTTCATGTGTAAATCGGAGTACTGACTCTCTCTCTAGGTGTCTTTTTAGGTCAATTAGTTCATCTGAGGCTTTTACTATTACGAATATGTCATCTACATAACGGCAGTATACAGTTGGTTTTTGTCTGCTACTGAAGACCCTATCTTCGATGGTTCCCATATAAAAAATTAGCAAAAAAACTCCTAAGGGGGAGCCCATTGCTACTCCGTCTATTTGTAAATACATGTCTCCTTGTGGACTGATGAAAGGGGCTTCCTTTGTACATGCTTCGAGAAGACTTTTCAAGTGTGGCTCAGGTATGTCTAATTTGGGGGTGCTCTCGTCTCTGTATACTCTGTCCAGTATCATTCCTATGGTTGTGTCGACTGGGACGTTGGTAAAAAGGGATTCAACGTCCAGGGAAGCGATGATTCCATCGGGCTGGGTAGATTTGATCAATTCTAGGAAATCTGCTGATGATTGTAGACTAAACTTACTTGGAGTGTATGGAGTTAGGAGTTCATTGAGTTTCTTTGCCAGGTGATAAGTTGGGGTTGGTATTTGGCTGATTATAGGGCGTAGTGGGTTAGCTGGTTTATGCGTCTTAACATTGCCGTAGGCATATCCTAAGCCATAGTCGCCTTGAAGTTTATTGAAATGCACACTACCTTTCCTTTGCGTTGATTGCTGTAATTGTTTTGTTTACTTTCCGCTTAAGGTCTTCTACGGGGTTCCTCGTGATTCGTTGAAATTTGGAGTCGTCACTTAGGATGTCGCTAATTTGTTCATGTATTCATGGGTAGGAATCAATACATATGCTGCTGTTTTGTCGGCTTTTCTTATTGTTACGTCTTTCAGATTTTTTAGTTGTTTCGCTGCTTCTTTGAGTCATGGGGTTAAGATTGTAGATGAATATGTTCCTCGTTTTTTTTTTCCCTGCTTCTGCAAGTAGTTCAGCTTGAAGTGTGTCAGTGGCGATGACTTTTTTGTTGTCTTCTAGCTTATGGATATCGTCCAGAAGCATTTCGATTTCCAGGCGTTTTTGATGCATCTTTGGTTTAGATAAGAATTGACAATTTAGACCAAGATTTAAGAGGTCTCGTTGGTCCTGGGTAAGATCATAAGAAGTCAGGTTAAAGTAGCCATCTTTAGGACGAGGGATTTTTAGCTGTCCACCGTTTAGGGATGTTAACTTACGGAGTGTCTTTGTTTCTACAAGAGTTTTATGTTGTTGTTTCAGGTAAAATAGTTCACTGTTGATGGTTTGCTTGAGTTGGATAGGGATGTCGTACTGGGTCCATTTGTTTAACAGATGCTCCGCCTGCTCTATAAAGGTTTGGAGGGCTTCCTTCTTCTTGTTTAGTTGATGCCGAATGAGCTCTTGCCTATACCTATAGGTAAACTCTGTATTGCGGACTGCTGGGTCATGTGGGTTTATATTGGTGTATACTGGCAGCAGGTTTTCTTTCAAACATGTTTCATTGAATATGACCGCATATTCTGTATTTATTATTTTCTGGTTTAGGGCTTCTATCCCTCTAACTATTTTCTTAGCATCAGGGCTTAATAGAAATAGGAGTTCTCCAAAACTTATTTTCGTACTTTTAAGGTGAAGAAAAGAAGTGATTTACTATAGAGTGTATTACACTTATTTGTATAATTTGCACGACGTTTCAAACCTCCATGGTTCATTCTCAAGTGAACATATCTTACAATACTAGTTGATTTTATACCCGCATTAGGTCAGGTGATAATACAATGAAGGTGAAAACATGGAGGGATACATAAGGGATAAACATAAGGGCTGCAGAA